TTTCTAAAACAGACACCAAATGGGGACACTGGCTTGAAAAAGGAATATGGCAAATCGAGCACCTGTGGAATGACTCAACAAACAACTGGAAGGAGGAAAAGGACCTCAGACTTACCCTAAAAGGAAACCATAACCTTCAAGCCAACCTAGCAAGCATCATTCAAGTTGAAGCATCCCAATAGAATGGCGGCGCCTATTAAAATCAGAGCAAAAATGGGTATCGGGGGACTGGGAAGGGCAGAAGAATCAAACCACTACGACAGAAATCTTTTTTTTTTTTTTTTTTTTTTTTTTTTTTTTTTTTTTTTTTGAAGGCTTGACCATCGGGTTGCTCCATCTATCGGTGGGGAGCGGCACCTGCTGGAAACCGGGTCCAGCGTCCCTTAGATACATCATTACAGGATCGTTTATTTGTAACCATTTGGTTCCTGGGCTGTGGCCTCTCTCTCTCACTCTCTGTCTATCCCTATGCTCATTTTCCCCCTCTGGGACTGCCTATATGTTACCCACCCTATCTTGGAGCTGCCTCCCTGCTGATTGCTTCTGCGTGTATTACAATTTACAACATTAAACTTTAAACTCCCCACTCTCCTTTCACATGGGTGTTTGTGTGTCGGCGGATTGGATCACCACTCAGCCAATCGCATTGCAGTGATCACGATAAGAACATTCGCGCGCATCGCTGTCGGAAATCAGAGTGGGTGGGGCAGTCCAGGTTGAGGCGGCGCGCCAAATAAGCAGAGCGCCAGGATGTAACAGCCCATCAGGAATTGTGAACAACAAGGTCAAGCAAGGGCCTTCCTTCAACCACACATCTACCTCCGCGCCTCTTTTTGCCAAGGGGGAGTAAAACTGCGTGCCAAGCTTTGCCGAAGCGCCAGCGCGACCTTTTTCCTTTTCTTTTGGCTGGTGCCGCCAGGCATTTTGGTGCGGTGGAGCCCGGCCTCCGAGGAATGTGGGTTGCACGTTACACAATTTCTATTTTTTCTGTTCTATCAAACTTGCAGAAGAATTCAATTAGAAGAAAATAGAAACCAAAATAGATTTATGTAATTTTATCAAGAATTCTATTTATGTATAAAATCTAGTTTGTATTACCGGCTTTAGGTTAGCCTTTGCCTCTGAAAGGTAGTGGTGGTTTCGCAGGTCTGGCAGCGGGCAGCTCGGATCCTGTGGAGGGACCCCACCCAGATGGGAAGGACTCAGATGAGACAAGTGGAGTGGCCCTACCGTCATCATCCAAATAGAACTCCTGGTCATTAGTGCTGTATCTGGACTGAAAGTTGTCACATATACAGCTGTAATGACAGCGCGTTCCATTCGGGGTGAAGACTGTGGTGGCGAAGGAGGGTGTTGTGAGGCACAGGCTCAAGGGGGTTGGCTCATAGACTGGACAGTTGTTCGTTCTTTTTTTTTTTTTTTTTTTAAACAGGGCCTTATGGACTTGGCTCCGTCTATTCTGTGGAGCGACAGTCCGGTTCCTATTCCACCGGCAAGTCAGAATACACATTACATTATTGCAGGAACGCACACTTCCTTCCGTTTGGCCGAAGGACCCCTGAACAGCATTGATTGACTACGACAGAAATCTTAAGACTGGTAAGCACTGAATTACACAACAACGAATGGATTACATGCAGCATTTTCCGTTTTGAAGACCCAGGCAACCCGGTGAGTTTACTTAACGAGGAAAGCAAAGCAGAGGGATGCTTTAAAGTAAGTAACTTATAAAGAGTAAGAGTATTTGAAAGTGAACGAAATAGAGTATATAGGCCGGAGACTGACATCCGCCACCTCGAAGTTGACCCCTCCGAATGGACATGGGGCATTCCAGGCACCACCACGACGACAGTCCGCAGACACAAAATAACAGACTACACCCCCAAACTTGGTTACAAACTGTTTTCCAGTCCCATCGCGATGTCGACGATAGTACAGAAAAGATGGCAAAAGGAAGCTAACTTGCCAACGTATCCTTCAAACCCTCCTGGAATTCAATCTTCAGCGCTAGACCAGTTAAACTAGCCAGCCTACTCTGGTACGACGAAGAAGAAAGGAGGAAAGATCAGAACAAGAATCATGGTGCAAAATCTGCAACTCCCAAGCCACAGAGACACTCAATCACTGCTTCCTAGAATGCGAGAAGGCTCAGAACCTATGGAAAGAGATAGAACAGACCTGGTGCAGGCATTCAAGTAAAACGTTACAAATTAACCCCAACACCCTTTTCTTAGACATCGAGCAGGTCCCACAGTTCAAAGGTTGTGACCTTTTTCTTCTTCTCGCTAATCAGAAACGCCTCACTCTGGGCGATCTGAAAAAGAAGATGCGTCCTGACTTTTGAAGATCATCCCACCAACCAGGAATCCCCCCACATAACTATCAAGCACTTAATAGAGGCTGAAATCCATGCCCTCTGGAAGAAATCACAGACCCAAATACAAAACACACCAGACAAAAAGCTCGAGATTACCAAAAGATTTACGACTGGAAAACTAGGACGGGCAAATCTAGGCACGATAGAAGGGAACAGACTGGTCTTGAAAGACTGGTTCACTCTGCCACCCCCCACCATTCAGGACCCCGGAAACCCTGCACAACCACCCAGGACTCAATTCGACCTTCAACCGGTCCACGGACCGATTGACAGCCCAGATGAACTCATCTAGCATCGATGGAGGGAGTAACAGGGTTTAAACAAGGGTTCTCTCAACCGGAAGAAGATCGAAGGAACGAGCAGAAGACATCTACAGAAGGGAACACGGATCCCAGCCGACAACAAGATAGCAGCCGACAAAAAAGAACTTTTAGAACTTTACTCAATCACCCACAGGATATCTAAACAGGCAGTTCAACAAGAACAGCCGAAAAAGAAACAGTCCCACACAAGGAGAACCCAATCGAGAGTGTATGGTTTTAAGCCGAACGGACACAACGTACATAATTCCAAAAGACAAGAATAGACTCACCCTCAAAAATGGGATATGCAGACCAACAATATCAAGCCACCCATCATCCCCTCTACCTCAGAGAGCACCAATATTAAACCAACCTCACAACATCCAGACACCTCCATTGCAGCAACCCCCTCGCCACCTCCCTACCGCCCCCCTCACATAATTCCTCACACTCCCACCCCATCCCCCAAACTTCAGAGCAAACACAGATTAGCGCACACAGACCCCTTCCCATCCCCACTCCCACGCACCGCATCTATCCCACAATCAGCACCGATCCAATATTCTCAACCCTACCAGCCCCCCTCCCTTTACTCCAACCCCAATCATCACAGAGTATGCCGCAGAATCCGAGCAGTCTCATCATCAACAGTTGACACAGTCAGGAAACAACCCCTAGGAAAAGGTTCATCAGCAGGGTGTTACCAAACTAGGGTTTAGGGTTTTAGCTTCAAGCGACAATTTCAAGTAAAACAGCTCCCAAGGAGTCCGGAAGTAGAATAAAGGGTTCCGACACACCCACTGCCCCAAAAAACACAGACATGCCATAAGTACATTTGATAGAGAGGAAAAGTCAGAAAAGAGTCCTGATAGCGCTTAGCCTAGCAAAGCCAAGCAGCAGCCAATAGAACAGGCTAACTTAGGCAGGGGTGAAGATCGGTACATCCTCCTTCAAGGAAGTAATCAATGCCGTCTTCTGGGCCTCCACGCCATAAGGGGGAGGAGCGTGAGTGAGTAACCATTGTACTACCCTTTGACTTGCCGACAAAGGGTTGGAATGCATTGAGCTGTACGCATCCTTCTTTGGGGATTATGTTTCATGTAAGATTGTCTTGGAGTTTGCCCTGGAATTCGGCGATTTGCGACGGTCTGCCAAGTGGAGAGATATCATGATGAGAAGATTCAAAGTGGAGCAGAGAAATATAGGGGAGGTTCCCCTTGCCTGGGTCCCATTTCATGGACGCTTGGAAGAGGCACAACTTTTGCAATTGCAGATAGCACCCCTCATGAAGTGTTGAAGTCCTCGAACATAGCAATAATGTGCATGCAATTCCCTGTACCTGGTAATGGCCAGTATTCCGCTTGCGGGCTTGGAGATTGACAAGAGTTTTTTATCTATGCACTCCAGTGATGCAAGTAGCTCTTTTGGACTTGCAAGCGATCGAATTTCCCTTTTCAATTTCAAATTGGCTTGTGGAGACAACATCCTTTCGACATTCTGCGTCTTCATCATGAGGTGGTACCTGACACCTGCCTCTAAGACCAACGTTAGCGCTTCCCTTTCGGGGGTAAGCATCTGCAGCTTTGCCAACACTTCCCTTGACTCTTCACTGAAGTCCAGGCCTCTTATCGCATCATCCGGATATTGGCGTCTGCACAGTGTAGCCAGCCTTTCCAAGCAACATGCCCATTGTAGACCGGTAACCTCCAGCGGAAAGTGCATCAGTGGACAGCCGAACATCGCACGGATCCGGTTGGATAAACTTATTGCCCACCAGAGGGCACTCTTCGACATTGTGTGCTCCTTGATGATGTGGAATGCGCATCCCATGTCACATACTGCTCTTAGTTGCTGCAGTTGAGAGATGAGGGAATCCTCGTTTGCAATTGCCAGTTCCCTTGCAAGTTTCCAACGCAAGCAGCAATGCTGAATCGATGACGGCGTCCCACCAGTATGTCCATCCCCTGGAGGGCGTGCGTACCTTGCACTGTCCATAAGCTCATAGTACGTGTGGAAGAATGCGTCAATCCTGATGTCGAATGCTCGTGCAGTGCTGGCTTATGCGGCGGATGAAGCGCTGACGCCTTCATACATCCTGGAGGTTCAGCGAAGTAGTCCAACAACATCTTGTCCTCGTCTTTAAGGTTGTGCGCAAGCTGATCCTGGATGAAATGAATGTCCATAAAAGCGATGGCTACAAGTGGAAAGTATAAACCGAAACTCCTGTCATTGACAGCCTCTTGTTCCATCCTATTTGCAGGTCCGGAAGCGGCTGCAGCTGTTCCGGGTAAGGAGGATATTGACGAGTGGGCTTCCAGAAGCTTCGCAAGCTTAACGAGGTCATTTAATCTTCCTGCTGGACTGAAAGGGTCTTTGTACCTCTGCATGAAGCACACACAGAACAACCGTACTGTCTCGTTGAAGTTTGCGGCCGATTCTAGAAGCTTCTCCAGGGAAGGAAGTGCCAGTACGATCCGCTCTTCCCATGGCTTTGGAACAAACACACATCTCCACAGCTCCGCTAGGAAAAATGCAACAGAGGAGAGTATCTCATCCTCATGCCTCCCACCGGCAAAACGACTGCTCCACGAGCTCAATGGTTGAGGACGGCAGGACATTCTTCACCCCTCCGGCATCTGGTGCAATGCCAGACCTTATCTTCTCAATGACCTTCATGAAATCCCATCTCCCTGCTGAACCTGGTCCAGTTTCACAACCTCCCACCTCCTCCACCTCCTCCACCTCCTCCTCCTCAAACCTCCCTCCATCAGGGCCACATCCTTCTGGGCTGCTGCCTTCTTTACGTCTCGCTTCCACCTCAACCTCCACTTCCTTTCCAGCTCTACGCTGGAAATGCTCTTCAGCGCGGACCTCCTCTAGCCTGCTTGGAGATACCTCTTTTTCCCCCTGGTTACCATAACATGGTCTATTCTTGGGAAACTCACTTCCAAGATCCATGCTTGCTTGCAAGCGCGTTTGTGCAGACCTCGAAGATTTGAGAAAGACAAAAGCAAGTGCTTTACCGGTGTTCTTTTGGTTTTCAATGTAGAGCTTCAACATGCGGCAATCTTGACGGCGAGCAGCAGAGAGGTCTTTGAAAGTGTGTGTCTCACCTGGAAATACCAAGCCAAGAGAATACCACAGGCAATAAAGGAGTCTGTGAGGGTTTGTCGACCTTTCAGCAGCAGAAGAGGACCAGTAGGCCCTGAGATCAGGTCAGTGGAAGTAATGACCCAGTCGGACCCAGGCCGGGACTCGCCAGGGCTGCCTAGCACCTGGTAGAACACTGCTGTTATCAGACGACTCGAGAAGGCAGTGCCTACCGGTGGGAAGGGGCCCAAGTCTGGTATATAAGGAAACGCCCGGACAGGCCAAAGCATCTTTTGGATGCACTATCCAGCCAGGCCACAGGAGACTAGATCGAAGCAAGCTCTAGAAGGAGAGTGCAGCACCTACTAGCATCCAACCAGCATGAGCCATAGCTGGGATCAGGAAGACGATCGTCACCATAGCCATGGGCCTCTGACGTGTAGAAAAGAGGTGGCACCAGAATGACAGATCCTTGGAGGATGGGGAAGGCCATGGAAGAGGAGGGATTTCGCTAGGAACTTACCTCATGTTGTCACCAGGAAGAGCTCCGGTCCGGTGTGGAATGTTCTTCGAGCAGGCATAGGTGGGAGCAACACAAAACTCTGCAGCGCTGTATTAGGGTGTTGTCCAGGCTAGAGTGGATGATAGAGTAGGTGGTCACACCTGCTGCTAGAGGGGGACCAGCAAGGGAAGGGAACTCTTACTGTTGTTGTATAATATTGACTGCTGGGAGGCGAGGAGGGGGAAGTTCACCATCAAACCGACTTCAATGTTGCCTGTTCGTTTGTTGTTGTGATCATTGCTTTGTCATTTGTGCTACTACTGTCTGCCGCTGAGTAGAACATACGTTCACCATCGCTGCATCTAGACGGAAAGCTCGCCCAAATGCAGCTCTATTGACTGCATCGTAATGACCTGCAAAATCGCAGACTCAGAAATCAGCAGATTTCTGAGTTTTGCCGCTGGATTGTTTGACTTGCTGAGATTCCTCCATTCTGCTTGAGATTTCTAAGTTTGTGTGTGTGTGTGTGTGTGTGTGTGTGTGTGTGTGTGTGTGTGTGTGTGTGTGTGTGTGTGTGTGTGCGCTTTAAAAGTCTGGTAGGAGGAGATTCAGACATTACTTCTGGTTCATTCTTTCATTGTTATTATTATTGTTTGTTGTAATGAAGAGGTTGGGGGAGAAAGGAGGTTGAAGGTGATGGCGAGTTGGAGGTTGATTCCACATTGCTCTTTGCTAGTGTACATCTTCTTCTTCTTCTTCTTCTTCTTCTTCTTCTTCTTCTTCTTCCATGTTTATTTCTTCTCCTTCCTTTGTCTATTTCTCATTCCAAGTTCTTTCATTTCAGTTGCAAGTGAACGGCATTGTCTCTCTTTGTGTTATTGCACTTCAAGATACCCAGGATCATAACAATTGGTACCGGAGCGGTATGCTGGCAAGAGGAAGTCTTGTTGCCCTAACCCTAATCCGAGATAGTTAGGGCTACTTAATCTCGGATTGGGGTAGGTTAGTGAGGTAAGTGGGATCTGCCCCCACCTAGTCCAGGTCTTGTAGGGTCGACATATGACCTGGCTAGGTTGCTGGAGTGTAATGTATGGGGTGGAAAGACACTAGGGGTGGCCTATTGGAGTGAATTGGGAGAGCAGAGAGTGGGAGGCACTCACACCTGGAATCTAAGCTTGAGGAGGACATTGAGCGACTTTTGGGATTCTCGTCAAGGGGCGAGCTTGGATGAAGTAGCCATGGCTGCGCCAAAAAAGGACGGCATGTTGCTGATTGGTCTTCAACATCGATGTGGGAGGACATATGAGGGAGGGGGTTGAGTTATACTACATCTCAGAGTCCGGGCCACACAGGTAATTGTCGTGTAACCCAGGGATGCCCATGGTGGTGTGCATGGTGCTGCATGACCTAATGGGGTACTATGCTGGATCTCGTTTCCTACTCTCTATGATCTTGGCTATTGTGCATGAGTTTGTAGACTGCTCTCTCACTTGATGGATGGATGGATGGAAGTATCTTGATTAGCCTCGCAAATCTTTCTATACTATCTATAGTGCTTTTGTCCATTCGTACTGAATAGTAGCTGAGTAGGGACCATATGCAGTCTGTCTTTTCCTTTGAGTACCATAGGGATAGATTTGGGACCAAGGTGGGACTCCTCTTGGATGGACTGCATCACCGGCCTACCTGGGACCTTTCGGTACCCTGTGGGACCTGGTCGAACGAGTAGAGCCCCCTTGCTTCCCGGTCTAAGGCCACTGCAAGCATTTCTCTGTCTTGCTGGAAGGAGGGGACACATTAAAGATGGGACACTCACTTTCAAGATTATCTTGACTGTGTTTTTTCTGCAAACACTAACACACAGTCTGTGACCTGGCTCGTGATCATCTACTCCACTCAAATCCCCATGGCTTAATCAACCGTCTTCACCCGAATAGAACACCTGGTCATTATAGTCGTATTTGGTGCACGTTTCAGTCCACATACAGCTATAATAACTGGGCGTTCTATTCGGGTGAAGACACTAGTAATCCCTTGTGTCTGATTCATTTGTTGTTTTTAGTGAGCTGTGTTAGATAAGGTAGGAGGGGATTTCGTGCTTGATTGTAACCGGACTGGGTTGCTAAATCAGACCTCTTGCCGATTCTTTTTTTTTAATACTGTTTATTTGTCATTCTCCAGTCCAAATATATTGCCACTCTGGCTACCGTCTTCACCCGAATAGAACGCACTGTCATTCTCGCCGCATCTGGACTGAAAGTTGTGCCAAATACAGGCAGAATGACCGTACGTTTTATTCAGGAGAAGACGGTAGGCGTTCTAACCTCTGTTCTTGTGCTTTTCTTGTGTTTCGTCATTCGAATTATTCTGATGCCTGTTGAGACATGCTCGCAAGAGAAAGAGAGAGAGGAGAGAGAAGTTATAGAGTACTTTACTTGAGGGAGTGAGGAAAGGGAAGAGGAATCATTATGTTCAATGACATCCGACAGTAAGAAAAGTGCAGCTCTTGAGAGACTTACTGACACCCCAATATTCCACCATGGCACTGACTGCAGCACAACGGAAAGACCAAATGGACGCTGCTGATGAAGCCGACAAAATGCAATATCGATTCTTTTATTAAAAAGCATTGCAGAGGGAGGAGGAGGAGGAGAGCCGAAGGAGAGATGATTTGGCAGCCCAAGAGGCTATGTTCAGTACTGTTTCTCCACTAACGGATGTGCAGATTGCAGAGAAGAGTGATCAACTCCAAAGGTCACTTTGATGCAGTGGCAAATTTGTGATACACGACCTCACGCTCTGCACAGCGTTTCGTACCTTTGTGGAATTCAATGGTAATCAAAGGGGGGTGGGAATGGTCGACGATTTTAGGTAGTGCAATTTGAAATTAAACCGTCGGCCCGGGGACAGAACCATGGTTATCATATCAGTTCTAAAGCTGCCCTCGCAAGAAGCAAAATTGCAGAAACAACAGGAATAAAAAATTTGAAAGAAATGGAAGAAACTGTATTTTTTAGAATTACCCCTGGCCTTTAGGGACAATCGAGCAAAGACCTAGAGCCAGGCCTGAGAATGCCAAACGTTAGTCTACTGTGTTCCTCTGTTGACGTGCACTGTGACAGTCACATCTGCTATTTTTATCGCTATCCGACGACAGAGGGCAAGGGGGCACCAAAATTAGGAAATTTGCACGAAGAGTGTCTGCGTAACGGGTGTGTTCCGGAAATCTCAACCAACCTCGGTATCCCGATACCAACCATTGCCACAGATACGAATTACCCAATTTGCAATTTTGCACCAGCGGCAGTTATACTGGGGTTCCACATGGCATGGGTAGCAGACCAAGGAAGTATTGTAAGATCTATTTATAGGAGGATCAACTGAGGGGAATCAAAACAATCCACACGCCTTCAACGGGTCATAAAAATGGACCCCGTTGGTTCGCAGTAGCGACTTTTGAACTTCCGCGTTGCAGTAGACACTGTGTTCTTCTGCGATGGGGAACTCGGGGAAACTATTATGGCAGATCGATGTTAGGGATGAACACGGGCAGTTGCCTGCGTTAGGACTCAGATTAGCAAACATCGACTCCGTACAGCCCAAGTTAAGGCCCAACTCACTCCCCTCAAGCAAAACCAAAATTGCAGAGAGATGTATGGAGAAGGAAGCAGAAAGTACAATTATCGCAATATAAAGAGAGAAATTTTCTAGTTCATCCATGTAGTAAGCAAAAAGATCACCACTCCCGACACTTCTTCATCGTCATTGACTCATGCAAGCTGAAGAGTGTAATAAGAGAGTCACACACACACACACACACACACACACACACACACACACACACACACACACACACACACACACACACACACACACACCTGCACACAAGTACCCATGTTCTTAGACCTCGATTGACTTCCACATGATGAAGCAATCAGTGACACACAATCAATCTCACACTTGCAATGAAGGCCATGCACACAGCTTAGCATATGAGTCAGTCTTCAGCGTGCACACACTCGCACAAGCAGTGATGGAGAAAAGACGAAGTCCCTAGCAACCTTAAGACATTAACAATATCGCCGCCACAGCGGCCACACCTGTGAGGTGCACCATACCGAAATATGAGGCATGCGCCATCTTAGCCACAAGGCCCTCTGCCTGGCCGCACTCTCACCTCCACCTGATGAATCCCTCCAGCTACAACCAACCGATACGATGGGTAGACTTACCGATACTACGACTAGACTTACCTCCCGTCTGCGGGCATGCCGAGCCGATTTAGCACCGCAGCCTTGGTTCATAGTCCACCAATATTGCACCTGAGATCAAAGAGGAGAAGAGGAAGGGGCTGGGCGAATTTATAGCAGAGAAGGCAGCGAGGCTCCGTCGTGGAAGACGGGGGTGTCACTGAGCGAGACAAGAGTGAAGGCGGAACGTTATAGAAAGATGGGAGAAGTGATGAAGGAAGGATGATCTAAAATTTTCGCAGGGATTGGGTTGATCGCTAGGCGGAACGTTATAGAAAGATGGGAGAAGTGATGAAGGAAGGATGATCTAAAATTTTCGCAGGGATTGGGTTGATCGCTCGAGCCGCACGCAAGAACTCCACTCTTGTGGCTTAATCTGACCAAGTCGAACTCGAACCGCGACCAATCAATGACATCCTTTGTCGAGAAGGAGGGAGGAAGACGAAGAGGTGTGTGAAAACGAAGGTGACGAGCAGGAAAAGAAGTTGGCACGCATGCATGATGATACATGCCCAGTTGGGCAATGTATGTACAGCCAAGGATCCGCAATTGTGGTAAAAAGGACTGAATGGACAATGCAGAGGTAGTGGAATCTCAACAAGCAGTGTTCATCCTGACACATACAAATGGCACTTTGTAAGCGCAGTGGAAGACTCGGATATAAGTCCTGACTTGACCGGGACTGACACGGCATCCCATTATACATCACCCATGTGAGAGGAGGAGATACCAAAGTGTTGCATACCGTAATGGTGCAAACCAGAACAAGGACCGACCTCCCTCACATAGTACAAGACAGCGCAGCGGAATGCTAGGATACCAATGATCAACCCAGTCAATGTCGCAATGCAGATCCAT